AATATATCCCTGAATTATAGTATAATATATATATATATATATATATATATATAAATGTCTGGTACACAGTGATATTTTAACTGATTAATAATAAATGTATGGGTTTTCTAGAAAAATATGATATAGAAAAAAGCTATTTGAAGACACATTCTATTTACAATTTAAATATTATGTTGATAACAATAAATCTTCAGGCATGCAGTGAACAAAGTTAAGTCCCATCCAAAGCAGGCAATGGTATGAAGTGGTAATGTAAGTAGCACACTGCTCCATAACACATATTCTCAGCAACCCTCTCTTTATTATTAAAAGAGATAACACTAGCAAGTTTTTAAGTAGAAGCATATGACACTACAAAATGATGCCCAGCATTTATCTCTTAAGTGTAAAATGGTCACAACATATTCATAACACCTCGCTTCTTATAAGCAAGGCTATTTTGATTATGTCCAATTGTAATATGTTCAACTGTAATGTTTTCAACTGCTTTCGATAATACTTTGTATCTGGCTAACTACTGTCAATTGTAATTCTTTCAATGCAGTTTCTTTCAATTTAATACTTTCAACTGTATGTGGCTAACCAAAAAATTTACAATTAAGATCTAAAATTAAAAAGATATAGCTACAAACTATAATAAGCAATGGGTCTATTGTATACAGAAATGACATTGAAACATAAAATTTATTGCTGTACTACATAAAGTTGACATATTTTAAAAGTTTAATGTTCAAAACTGAAGATGTAGGTGGCAGGGGGGTGGGGTGAAGAAAATGTTTTTCCCAATCTAGGTTTCTCATTTTGTATAGTAAGATGTTAATTTTTAATGTCCCTACAATTGAAATAGTAAATACACAGTAGTTCCATTTCCAATATTTTTGTAACCCTTCTTTTTAAACTTATAAAGAATGTAAAGCAATGAATATCTCTTGAATTAATGCAGTATTTGCCTAAAGGTACGTGCTTGGGTAGGAAGTAAGACCCTATTCTAAAGTAACCAGTGCAAAACAATAACAGAAAAGCTACATGTGTGTGCCTTAGCAGTGAATGACTGCAGGACTGAGCTTAGCCCCCTTGTACTATCAAAAACAAAAGGATCCAATACAAAAATTATTGATGCATTTTCTAAAAAAATTCTGCCTAACATAAAAGCACCAGCCATGCACAATTTTAAACACAAGAAAAAAATACTACAAATACAATTCAAAGAAAGTAAATTGCAAATGATAGCCTCAAAGAGCATGTGCAGGAAGTGAGCATTCATTATCTGTAAAAGGATGAAGTTGCATTGGGAAAATTTAAGCAAATTCCTGAGGATGTTCAGGACAAAAATTTCTTGCCTAAGTTCCACAAAATGCATTTATCTGTAAAAAAAAAAAAAAAAAAAAAGAAAGTTGCATTGCCAAAAAAATGGCAGGCCATAATTGGAGGTCATGCTGACAGCCAAAATTTCTAGTGGTTATATGCTTTGCCTATTCTCTATTTGTTTTACCTAAAAAGATGCAACAATCAGATACACAAGATCTCTTATGCTTAGCACCAACAGAGCATGAAAGAATTATTTGAAATTCAATTCAAACAGTTTGAAAAAAAAAGGTCAATAAATTGATCCTAGACAACACTGGCAAAGACATAGAAAAATGTCAGTCTATCTTCTTCAGGATGTCTTCATTAGCAAAGTGAAAATGCTGATGAAGGCCAAATTTAAATTGAGCAGACTAATGGAATGTCATTGTAAAAGGTAGTAATTACGAGATATCTACTAGAGATAAGACTGTACTAAAGATAAAAGAAATAATGGATACATGATGGCTATGAACCTAAGAAGTTGTTTAAATTTCGTGGGTTTTTGTAGTGACAAAAACCTTGTGAAAAGATGATTCTGTGACAAGTAATAGTTTTGATTTTTTGTTTTTTGGTATAGGGCTTGAACTCAGGGCTTCCTGCTTGCCTGGCTGGCTCACTATGCTGGCACTCTACCACTGGAGCCCCTACCAGCCCAGATTTTGCTAGCTATTTTGATGATGGAGTCTCACAAACCTTTCTAAATACTCTCTAACTATCAACTTCAATTGTCCCGATCAAAGCCTCCTGTACAGCTATGATTATAGGCATGAGTGTGTCTTCCTAATGATTTTGATGTTAAATTGGTTTTGATTTTTTTTTCTTTATTTTTACTGGGGTTCTGTTGTTGTTTCTTTCATGCTTACGTGTTCATAGTTTTTCAGAAACAATGAAGTCACTGTCTTTTTTTTTTTTAGGTAAAGCAAGTAGTGGGTTAGAGATCCAAAAAGAAAAATGTCACACTGTGAGAAATAAGATTCAGGCAAGAGTAGGAGGTAAAATGGGCTGGAAGGAGGGGAGGGGAAAGAGCAGTGTTCAGGATCTGATAAGTAAGCCTGAAGTATGATAATTAAAGGTATGAAATACAAGTGTTCAAATATGAGCTTAGACAAATTACTCATGACCTACTTAAGAGCTACTAAAACAACAGTTATTATGAAAAAGCCAGGAGAGGTATAGATGAATAGTAATTAGTAGATATTAATTGTGAGCAGCTAAAAATAACAGTGATAATAATTACGCGATAGCAAGTTAAATAAGAAATCCTATCATGTAAACAACATTTTTTTCTAAAGAGGTAATGAGTTGCATAGTAAACATATGTACCCTCATTTTCAACAAAAATTTTACCTTTCAATTTTTTTTTTTTGGGTCCGGTCATGGGGCCTGAACTCTGGGCCTGGGTGCTGTCCCTCAGCTTTTCAGCTCAAGGCTAGGGCTCTACCACTTGAGCCACAGCGCCACTTCTGGCTTTTTTTCTTTCTGCTTATGTGGTGCTGAAGAATCGAACCCAGGGCCTCATATGTGCAAGGCAAGCGCTCTACCACTGAGCCACCTTCCCAGCCCCTAACCTTTCAATTTTAACAGTGATGCATTTCCTATTACTGAACCATTTTAGGCAACTGGTTGCACATTTGAAATCTTCCAAGTTTCCTTCTTGGTTTAAAATTCTTTAAAAAAATTTTTATTGAAAAGTGATGCACAGAGGAGTTACAGTAACATAGTTCAGGTGATAGAGTACATTTCTTTTTGAACAATGTCACTTCTTCCCTCGGATTCTCCCTCGCAACATTTTGTTGTCTACTGAGTACCACTGCTGAATTAGTTCACCCTTTCTCCCACCATTTCTGTGCTTCCTCTTGCTCTCCCCAAAACAGATAAACTTACATACAAGACAAAAAGTACAGAAATTAAAAAATATCAACAAAAGGGAAAAAACAAATCAAAAACAAAAAACCTACAAAAAGTAAAATTAAAAACCTCTAGTTTCCATTTCTTGGAGTTTATTTTGATAAACATCATTTTACATTATCATATGCAGAAAGATTTTTGTTTACATGAAAATATAGAACTAAATCATTTCAAAAGTTTTTAATTTTAAATGAAAATATGAATGAATTATCAGTGATGTTGACTATAACTATAAAACAACATAACAAAGAAAATTTTACCAATGAACATAGAAATTGCTATTATTTGTCCTTATTAAATATCTCCTCAGAAATTGTGACTTAAAAAATTAGGAATTATTAATAGTACAAGAGTTCCATTGTGAAAATTCTGCATATGTACACAGCATACTGCAAGTAAGTTGCAACTTCTATTATTTACTCTGAATTACCTATCCTCCTAGGCCTCTTTTTCAAAGAGTATTTGGTTAGTTTCATTATATACTCCTCTTTTGCTCTCCCTTCTTGATGAAAATATACCCCAACAGTCCCCTTTACTTGTGTTTGCCTGTACTGGGCTTGAACTCAGAGCCTGTGTGCTTTTGATCAAGGCTATTGTGCTACCATTTGAGCCATGGCTCTACTTCCATCTTTTTGGTGGTTACTTAGATCTAAGAGTTTCACAGACTTTCTTACCAGAGTGGCTTGGATCAGGAATCCTCAAATCTCTGCTCTTTGAGCAGCAAAGATTTCAGGCATGAGCCAATAGTGACTGGCAACAGTTTCCATTTTTACTAATATTGTATTATTTTTATTGCTATCACATAAGAAAAACATACAGTACATGACTTTTTGAGGTTGGCTTATTTCACTCAATACATTAATCTTTACTTCTATCCATTCTTTGGAAAATGATGTAATTTCATTCTTCACCATGGCTGAATAAAACTACTGTGTTTATATAGCCATATTTTCTTTACCTATTTGTTGGCTGTTAAGCATAGTCTAATTTCATAGCTTAACTACTATGAATAGTGAATAGTGTTGCAGTAAACATAGTAGTATAGATATGTTTCTTGAATGTTGATTATGTTTCTTTAAATATATACCCAACGGTGGCATAACAGGGTCAGAAAGTAGATCTTTCTTCAGTACTTTGTTTTAAAGGTCTGGCATTTAAACTCAAGGATTAACACTTGCTAGGCAGGAGTTCTATTCCCTGAGTTATGTATCCTAGGCTTTTTGCAGTTTTGACTTTTCAAATAGGCTCTTGCTTTTCACCAAGTCAAACCTAGACCAAATTTTCCTATTTACACCTCTTACATAAGTAAGTATCAACTACCACGCTCACTTTCTTTGTTGATTGAGATGGAGTCCTTTAAGCTTACTCCTCAAGCTGGCCTCTGACCATGAGTCTCTCCTTCTTATCCTCCAAAGTAGAAAGGACCAAAGACATGAACTTTCAGCTATTTTAAGCCTTTTAATAAATCTCCATTCTAATTTCAATACAGTGTGTATTAGTTTCAATGCTAGCATTTATTGTTTTTGTTTTCTTGATGATTGCCATTCTGACTGGGGTAAGATGAAATCTCAACCTAATTTAGATTATAACCTTGTTTCAAATGACACTTGAATGGATTCCATTTATTTGATTTTTTTTGTAATGGTAAAAGGGAAAAAAGAGCAACATTATTAAAAGAAACTGAAGATAAAACATCAAGAACACTATAATTTAACAATTCTTGTACATAGTTTGATGAAAATTACCTTCTCTTTTCTCAGCTATACGTCTATTCAATTCTTGTATTGTTGCTTTATCAATAGACATATGTACTTTAAGTTCATCCAATTCTTCTTGAAGATTTAACCTATGAAAATTAGAGCAATAAACAATTACATGAGATGTATGAGCTTAAAAAAAAAAGAAAGAAACCGGACACTGGTGGCTCACACCTGTTATCCTAGCTACTCAGGAGGCTGAGTTCTGATGATCACTGTTTGAAGCCAGCCTAGACAGGAGAGTCCATGAGACTCTTTTTCCAATTAACCACAAGAAAACTGGAATTGGAGCTGTGGCTAACGTGGAAGAGTGCTGAAGGACAGCACCCAAGCCAAGATATGGAAATAAGAGGTTTTTCTTTGATGTTGTTATTTTAATGTACTATGTGAAGTTATTTCTTTATTCTTACTTTTTTTTCTTTTTTTTCCATATGGTTTATCCATTGTTGTCACTGTATTTGATTTTGGTACCCTGTGTATTGTATATCTGAAATAGGGAAGGGAAGGGGAACAACAAAATGGTGAGACAAAGGGCAAACTAATGCAACAGCGATACTCATCAGACAACATGTTAGAAATGAACTTTACAACTTGGGGGGTTTGCATTAAGGGGAAGGGGAAAGTAGGAGAAAAATGAGGGAGGTGGTAACAATATTTGACAAGTAATGTACTCACTACCTTATGAATGCAACTGTAACCCCTCTATACATCATTAAACTAAAAAAATCACAATTAATGTTTGACTCAAACAGAATAATAAAGAATAAAGATGATAATTGTATATAATTCTTTTAAAATTAAGAAAGATAAAAAAATAAAGAAACAGGGTTGGAAAGGTGGCTCAGTGGTAGAGTGCTTGCCTTGCATTCAAGAGGCCCTGGGTTCAATTCCTCAGCACTACATAAGTAGAAAAAGCCGAAGTGGAGCTGTGGCTCAAGAGGTAGAGCACTAGCCTTGAGCTGAAGAGCTGAGAGAGAGTGCCCAGGCCCAGAGTTCCCCACGACTGACCAAAAAAAACAAAAAACAAAAAAAAAGAAAGAAACCAATAAAAACAGTTAAAGTGTTTAAAATATAAAATAAAAATTGTAAAATAAAGGCAAAAATTAATATATTTGAATTTTATGCAACTGTTTTTTTTTTTTTTTTTTTTTTTTTTTGGTGGGGGGGCGTCCTGGGGCTTGAACTCAGGGCATAGGTGTTGTTCCTGAGTTTTTTATGCTCATGTCTAACACTCTTAAATTTAATCCAAAACTCTGCTTCTGGCTTTTTGGTGGTTTACAGGAGATAATAGTCTCATGGAATTCCCTGCCATTGTTGGCTTTAAACAGCAATTCTTATTATCTTACCCTGCTGAGAAGCTGATTACAGGCATGAGTCTCAGGTACCCAGTGCAACTGAATTTTAATATTTTAATAAAAAACTCTTTATAAACTAAAATGTTTAAAATGATTTCTTTTAACTGTATCCCAAAGAAGTTGCTAAATACTTAAAATATTTAAGTTACCAAGTAAGTTAATAAGTAACTCATTACTCATTTGCAAGAGGAAGAAGCTTACTATATTGCCTAGCCTAGTTTACTCTGAAATTATGTAGCATACACATTCACTTCAAATTTTCAGTCTTCCTGCCTCAGCCTTATGAGCACAGGAGTTACAAGCTCGGGACATCCTATCGAGCTAAATAAATTTTTGATTCTATATATTTTTATAGGTGGTATTTAGGTCTGAACTCAAGAGTCCTACAATTGTGAAATAGTTGCTTTACAACCTGATCCATGTCCCCATGGCTCTAAATAATATTTTATCATGCATTTAGTTTTTCAACCACTTTTTAACAAACATGTGAGAAACACTAAGCCAAAGATAGGCTAATGAAATATTAGTAAAAATATTAATGGATACCATTATGCTAAATAAAAGCAAGATACCCTTATTAGTACAACAGAATTGCGCTACCATGGTAAGCGTTTGCTCTAGAATAAATACATGCAGTGAGCTAAGTGAGAATGGAAATTTAAACCCAAAAGCCCTACTTAAGATGTGTCTATAGTAGGACGGGAGACAAAAATCCATTGAGTGAAAATGTAAGCATTCTAGATAAATACTAATACATATTTTTAACAATGTAGCGGGATATTACATGAGAATATAAAACTCAAAAGCTTTTCTATACAACAATGAACAGGATGAGAAGAAAACATCAGGAAAACAATTCCATTTACAATATTCTTAAAACAAAAACAAAAATTAGCTAAATGGTGGCTGATGCCTATAATCCTTCCTATTAAAGAGGCTGATATCTGAGGATCAGTTTGAAGCCAGCCCAGGCAAGTCCAGGAACTCATATCTCCAATTAGCCACCAAAAAAAACCCCAAAAGTGGAGCTATGACTCAAGTAGTAGATGCTAGCCTTGAGCACAAAAGCTTAGAGACAGGACCCAGGCCCTGAGTTAAGCCTTAGGATTTGCACACACTGATCCACACACCACCCCCACACATTAAACCCTAGTTTAAACTAAGATAAAATGCAAAGAAAGAAATTAAAAAAAACTCAAGAAGATAAAAGACCTTTCATGTTTGTGAATTGTAAGAATTTGGTGATATTAGAAGAAATATACAGATTCAAAGGACTACAAGCAAAAAATCCCAGTGTCATCCATTGCTGAAATTGATTAAGTTTTGAAAAAATACTTACAATACCAATGGTTGACAATAAACAACTGCACTCTTATGAATCGTTATGTAGAATGAAAATATGATAGTTACTTTGGAAAAGAGTTTGATAGTTATTCATATACTGACCAACTGACTCAGCAACAACTTTAAAGTATGATCATACAAGAACTGTGATATCATCTTTACTCCTAACTGTTTTCTAAAAAATCTAGGAAAGACCTAGTTTTCAGCACATGTATAAATACATTCTGTATACATCTGTACAATAAAATTCCACTTAGAAATACAAGAAGAGGCTGGGCGCTGCCAGTGGCTCATGCTATGCTTGTAATCCTAGCTACTCAAGAGACTGAAATCTAAGGATCATGGTTCAAAGCCAGCCTGGACAGGAAAGTCCATGAGACTCTTATCTCCAATTAACCACCAGAAAGCCAGAAGTGACTCTGTGGCTCAACTGGTAGAGCACTCACCTTGAGCTAAACAGCCCAGGGACAGTGCCCAGGCCCAGAGTTCAAGCCCTATGACCAACAACAACAAAAAAAGAAACACAAGGGAACAAACTGAATGAACCCAAACAAGTGACTGTCAAAGATATTATGCTGAATGAAAAAACCCGGCCTTTATAAAGTTATATAGGTGTAATAATAATTAATAATAATATAAAATACAACATTTGAAAAAGGAAATGCTGCAAGGAAAGAGAATAAATCAGTGGTTGTCAGGTGTTGGTGCTGAGAGGCTGTGAAGAGTAAGGGTAAGAAGAACTTTTATTTTTTAATAATTAGGAAATTGTTTTAAAATGTTGTTCCTGAATGAGGGAATACTTGCTCAAATCTATACGCATGTTATAAATTATATAAGTATACACTGAAAAAGTTAATGTATATATATTTAAGAAAACAAAGGAAAACAAAAATTTCCACCCCATCAGTAAACAAACTTCACGAAAAGACTTTCTGTAATTCCTATCTTCTCCATCATACTTTTTTTTCAGGAGTGGGAGCAAAAAAACAGAAAGAGAATGCAAGTCACTTTGTTCAAGCTGCAGTATTGGCACATTTTTATATTTTCATTGTTTAATTATCTTTTTTTTTTTTTTTAACTTTTTTTTTACTTTTTTATTTTTTTAATTTTTGCTTATGTGGTGCTGGGGAATCGAACCCAGGGCCTCAAGCATGCAAGGCAAGCGCTCTACCACTGAGCCACCTTCCCAGCCCCTGTTTAATTATCTTTAAGTAGTTGTACAAAGGAGTTACCATTTATCAAAGCAGTTTATATATCTTGAGTAATGTCACCCCTTTTAAGAGTCTCACTCATTCCTCCCCTACCTACTCCTTCACTCCTTCTCTCACTCTTCATAATTTTGTAGAATATATTGGAATTCTTGTCTGCATTTTTCATCTCTTCATTCATCTGTCTCTTTCTCTTTAACCTCACCCTATCCTTTTTGAGTATCTGCTTCCTGGAGTTATTTTGCTGAATTTTGATTTTGCCTTTCTAAGGAATTACATTCTTTGAGATCTTTCTTGAATCTACCATATTTCAGTTAATACATTTGTATAAACCTGATTGCCACACAATGTATTATGCATTTATAAGCTAAATCGAGCTTACATATATAAGGGAAAACATGCATCCTTTTGTCTCTCTGAGCTTGACTTACTTCACTTAAAATAATTTTTTCCGGTTCTTTCCATTTCTTTAAAAATGGTACAATATCATTCTTTCTAATGCATCCATTAGATTTAGGTATTTATACCTCATTTTCTTGATCCATTTGTCTAATACGGGGATCTGGGCTGACTCCATACTTTATGGTGAGTAGTGCTACAATAAACATGGCTGTGCTTTCTTTACTGCATCCTGGTTTGAAATCTTTAGGGTAAATGCCCAGGAGTGGAACTGTTGAACCAAGGGGTAGGTTCTGTGTTTTTAATTTTTCTGAGGAACTTTCACATTGCTTTCCAAAGTGGCTGAGTAAGTTTATGTTACCACCAATAATGTGTTAGGTTCTGTTTTGGTTGTATCCCCACCAGTATCTGTTGTTGCTTGTTTTCTTGATAATGGCTACTCTAACTGGGGTAAGGTAGAATCTGAGTGTTGTTTTGATTTGCATTTCCATTGAGCATTCCTTCATGTGTCCATTGGCCATTTTTACTTCTTCTAAGAAGACCCTCATTAGCTCATTAGCCCATTTATTGAGTTCTTGGCTTTTTGAGCATTAATTTTTTAAGCTCTCTGTAAATTCTGGATATTAGGCTATTGTCTGATAAGCAGCTGGCAAAATTTTTTTTCCCATTTTGTTAGCTATCTTTTAAGCTTATTGGCTGAAGTTTCTGCCCAGCAGTTTGATGCAGTTCAATTTCTTGTCTTTCTTTGATTTGTTATGCTGGATCTTTATTCAGAAAGCTTCTATTTATGCCCAGGAGCCCTAATGTTTCCCCTGCTCTTTCCTGTGTATACCAAATAAGCAACTTGAGAATAGAATTGTTATCTAATTTTCTCATTTCATTAACCAAGCACAGTACCTAACACATAATATTAGCTCAGATATATTTACATATGTGAACTATACAAGTATTTAGCAAAATAACCTAACAGTTACCATGAAAATGTTTACCACATAGAGTTTATTCACTATTTTAGCATTCTTTTAAAAAAATCACTACCTTATACTAAAAGTTAAAACTAGTTTAAAGCCAGATTTTACATATGGCTAACTTATACAAATAATAACAAGGAAACTATTCCACAGTTTAACAGTAACTCAGCATTTTATTCAAAGTGCTGTTTGTAACATACAAAATGTGAATTAAATGTACAGAAAGTACATTAAAAGTTGTTGCCTAGGGCTGAAAGGCTAGACAAGTTAGGAGTATGATAATTACATTGTGTAAGTTTTTAGAAGATGAGAATACTCTAAAATTAATTGTAATAATGATGGTGGATAGCTCTTTGAATATAGTATAAGCCACTTAATTATATGCTTTATAGGAGTGAATTATATATGTGGTTCCATGGTTTCTGAATTATATTTCACTAAAAACATACAAAACCATCAGGAACTGTTTGAGGATATTCTATATAATCTATATTCTGCATAGTCTATAAAATAATTTTCAAGAGAAGTGACTCAGCATTACATGTTTACCACAAATAATATACTCTAAGAGGTAAATGAGAGCGTATACATCTAAATCTGATAAGGTCATCTTTAAAAGTTTATCATTATATAGAAAAGGCTGAAATTCAGTTATGTATGTTACTTCATATATAAAATAAACTGATTTAGAGCTAAGAAAAAATCAAGGACATTTAATTGTAATATGTCACATGATGCTAAATTCTAGCAAAGTAAAAGTCATCCAGTCTTTAGATCTGTATGGGCTTAGTATCAAAACTTAACTCTACATGAGAAAATAGATAAGTAACAGGAAAGGCTAATTATATTTAGTTTAATTCTTCTTTAAGAAAAAATGTGTTCATTCCTTGCCAGGCTGAACATTATAGCATATGCATTATAAGATCAAGCAAATAAACTGTATGTTTTCTAAAATATGAGTATCCTTCATCAAGTTTTATACTTAGGGCAACTAAAAGACCTATGTGGAAGGATCAGCATTAAACCCAAAGGACAGGAAGTGCACAAAAAGAAAGCAAGCAATTCCCTTGTGTCTTTTGCAGGTCACTACCAAGGACCATGTTAGCAGATCCACACCAGACCCTTAACAGGCAGTTCTGCTGCTACCAGTAATTAGCTTGGACAGCTCTGGCTCCAAGAGTAGCAGCAAGGCTACACCATAATGAGCTCAGCTGGGATTAGCAGGACAGGGCAGGGAACCAAGAGAGCTCAAGCATTCTGCATTGCGTATATATCTAAGAGATCAAACAAGGATGGCTGGCTAGGTTATCCCCTCTCCACCTCATTCCAAAAATGAAGCACGGCAGTCTCTAAAATACAGGCTAATGAGGAGCGACACCTCCAACAGATGAGAGCCACATTAATTAACACAATCCCTAGATCATATTATACAGTTTCCATCAGACAGAGCAAATGTGCAACTTGTTATTGCATAATACACACACATACACACACAAACACACACTCATATATATGTATTCTAAAAGACAGTCTTTTTGTTGTTACTTTTTTGGACAAAATCCAGATAATTTCCTTTTTAAAATTTTATAAGGTATTTCTCTAATGGCCTTTAAACCACAAAATAATTCCTCTATAATGTTCATTTAAGTCCATATATTTAAAAAAAGAAAAGAAAGAGAAACTCACTTTTGAATCATTAGCTCCTGGTTTTCCCTTTTGAAATATGCCAGCTCATTCCATACAGCATCAGAATCTTCTTGTCGAAGTTGTTGGGGATCAGCTCTCTTTATTTTTCTGATTTCAGTCCTATTTTTAATGAAATTTTTGTTTTCCTCAACATATTTAAAGTGAAATATAAATTAATTTATAGATTTCTTAGATTTTAGAAATATAAGTATCTGTTGACTAAATTTCAATTACTAATTTCACGTTCACTAGTTATGGATTTATTTTCTAAGTTATTAGTGTAAAGAAATTAAAATCCTATGTAATACTTTCCTAAAGCTAAACTGTTACCAAGGAAAGCAACTTTTAAGCAAATACATAACATTCTTAAATTTCTTTCATTCATTCCAGCACAGAATAACAGGTATAAAACATAAACTGGAGGAGTATAACCATTTTTATTATAAGCAGTCAACTGAACTAGAATTTTCTGCCATCCAATCTGAAAGTAGTAGAGATGCCCTGTCTTACAATATGCTATTAACAGTGAACATGTCAGAAAGCAGTTTCTCTTCAGCAGTGATTACCAGAAAAGTTAGGTATGCAGAGGCTACATCTAGGAAAATTGACTTGATTACTGCTTTACTAACATATGATTGGAAATATTTTCCATTCATCAAAGCAAAAATTAGATGTGATGATTTTCAACAAGTAATTTCGAATAGCCTTTACATTTTCATTTTCTGTACATAAAACAAACTCTTCATTTTATTTTTTAAAAATGCTGTAGTGACCAAATTAGAAACAGTATTTCTCTATAGAACAGACCAATGTGTATCATCAACATTGCCCTAAAGGATCCATCTCAAAAGATGAGATGGTAGTAGATTTTCTGTACTCATTCAGTCCTTTGCCCTCTGTTGATACTGTTAACAAGGGAGCCACTTAGAAATAACCAAGATCTGAACACCTGTTCAGAGCAATTGAACTGAGACCACCAATTCATTCAAATAAGCTAGAGAACAAACTGATGGATAGTAAAGATCTTCAAATTACATATTAGGTTGAAATAGTCTTAGGACAGTTAACTATATATGTGAATTATATATATTAATTTTACATTTCTCTATTTTTTATTAAAATGTAAATCACTGCATTATAAAAATTTTAATACTTCTTTTTTACTTATTTAAAAGCAGATCTGTATAGTAACTATTTTCTTGATAGTAACTATTTTGCACTGAATATATTCTTTAATTAGATTATTCCACACATATTACAATATATACAATAATTCTTAAGTACCTACTGCTATTGACATCTTCAAATGATAAGAAAACTTATAGCATGGCTGGCACATTTCTGTTTTCATTTATTATATTCTGCATTTAAAATTTATAATAAAGATTTGACTACCAAATAATGTCTTTAAATCCAAACAAAAGCCATTAAAACAACTATATAATGCTATACCATTCCATTTAATATTTAGGGAAATGTCTTTATGAGCCATGTAACTCACATGCCACTGCCTTCTTCCCACTGTTTTAATTGCTCTTTTACTGCTCTGTAGTTGGTCTGTAACATCTGTAGCCTTTCTTTGCGTTTTTCATGGGCATCTCTTAGCTCATCATTTTCTTGGCACTACAATACAAAGAAGGTTTACAAGTTTGCAGGAAGTATTGATATAATGTTTTGTGTAAAAGGTTACCCATCTAAGTGATTTTAAAAGAAAATAAGGTGAAAAACTGAATGTCTTTATATTTCTTAAGCAAAAGGGAAGAAATTCCTAAAGTAACAAAATGCAATACATTGGTTTGATAAAGTTGCTCAGCTCACTGAGCAACTTAATCTATTCAAATAATTTCAAAATTTTGCTGTCAAATTAGTCCCATGGAATAGGATATTGTAATAAACATACAAAATTCTGTAAGTATATTTTGTAAATTTTTAATATTTTGTTTCCCAACAACACAAGAATTTATCTATATATAATAGATGATTGGTTTGTTAAAAAATAAAGACATTATTAAGATTAATTCTTCAGAACCCTTACTCATACTTAAATATATAATAAGGCATAAGGAGTTCACAAAAGGAAGAAAATAAGGCTGAATCTATATTAAAAAACAAAAAATTTGGCTTTTGGGGGGATAAAGACACAGTCAACAACTTTTAAAAGTATATGGCACATGAGATAAACATTCATTAGATATAAACACAAATAAACTTTATAAAGGCCAAATTCTTAATCTTTAGAAGATATTCACATTTTTATGAACTAAGTTTCTTTAATAAGGAACTTCAATTCCTTCAATTAAAAGAAATATTCATATTTCTATGTAAGTGAACTTGTATGTTTATTTGCTGGGAAAAACAATATGGACAACAAAGGCATTATGCATGCCCTGCGAAGACACAAAGCAAAAGTTTGGCTTTTTCACTCTCTCCTCTTCCTAGGTATTATTAACAGTGATGTACTTCCATTGGAATTCAATTTTCTTGACCATTGATGTGTCACCTCAATAGTGAAGCAATGCTTTATAGTTTCTACAACTTCAGTGCATTTCCATCTGTCTCATCAGTATGAATACTTTTACTTTCTGCTTTGATTATACTTCCATTAAGATTGTTCTTTTAAGTAGCTATCAGGACATAGTGAGTGTTACAGATACGAAGAAATACAGTATTCTACATGCCTTATGGAAATGACAGTGCTTATAATCCAAAAGTATGAAAATAGAACCTTTTGACAGGATCATATTATTTCAAAGAGTTTCAGAATGTATGCAAGTTATCAGCTATTGCAAACTTGCCAAAAGGCAGTATCCGTATGATAAATGAAAAACTTCCAGATGCTAAGTTCAATTTTATTCATTTTATTGAAGAACCACACAGAAAGGGCCTGTAATATGCAAGATATTAAGTATTCACAAATCTAGATCTTGTTGCCAAGTTGTTAAATCTTACCGTGAATCCAGTGTATGTCAGTTTCTCCATGTTCAAAATAGTTATTTAAATCCCTTCTTCTAAGGCAACAGGAATAAATTAATCTTAAACTTGAATTTTCCATCCTACAGATGACTACCAATCTAAATATTAGTTTACTTCTTTGACCTATAAACTTCCTAATCATAAGTGTGCTAAGTGAATAATTTCAGTTAGCCAAATAAAACACTGATCATTAATGATCATTAATGATAACACTGCTATCATAGATGACATGGTTCTAATTATTTGGATTCCTAAGAACCAAGATCTACAAAAAAATAAAAAATTAATAGGAGAAGCCCTAGGTCTCCTTGGCAAAAGGCTGAAATTTTCTTAATAGAGACACAGAAACACAACAAATCAAAGAAAGGTTGGACAAATGGGATTGCATGAAATTACAGAGCTTCTGCATGGCAAAGGACATAGCTAGCAAGATCAATAGAAGGCCCACGGAGTGGGAGAAGATCTTCACTAGCCATACAACAGACAAGGATCTCATATCTAAAATATACCTGGAACTCAAAAAATAAAATCCCTCAACAACAAATCTTCAAAGAAACAACTGCCCAATAAATAAGTGGGCTAAAGACTTAAAAGAGAAACTTCTCTGAAGAGGAAAGAAGGATGGCCAATAGACACATGAAGAAATGCTCAACCTTCCTAGCCATAAAAGAAAAGCAAAGATGCTGGAGAGGATGTGGACAGAAGAGAATCATACTGCATTGTTCGAAAACTTTACAAAAATCTAAATGTTAGATAATAAGACTTCACAAAAAATGTTCCTACAAGAACAGATGGCAGATGAAGTTACTTGTCAAAAGTTGATAATCTTAAAAGAATTAATAACTCTATATTTCATTTGACATGAGATTAAAAGCAAAATTGTGCTTTATTTAGGAAATATTACCACCAAATTTCTTAACAAAAAAATTTTAGACTCACTAGGAAATCTACCAAATCTCATATATCACTTATGATATATTATACTTTATAGGAGACATATAAATCATAGCACTGAAATGCTCCCACTTCTGATTCCTAAAGCCTTAGTAAAAATGTTCAATAGTGGCAAATAGTTTTGGTTTTCCTGTAGTAACTCAATTAATAGCTATTTCCGTTAGCTAGTTATTATAGTCAAAGATTTTATTGATATGTTTTCTGCTTTAATTTTACTTGGTGTTTGATTTATTATCTCTAACACTAGGATATTTGCAAAAGTTTTAGAGTTATTAAAAGTTAAACTATTTAAAACCAAACTAAGGATTATTTGTAACTCAATATAATAGAAATAATAATTCTTCTTAAAGACAGTTTTACCCATATATAGTTAGGTTAATGTGCTAAACTAATCTTGGCACTAGTGTTTATTTGTCCTACTCCACAAACGAAAACTTTACAAAAATCTAAATGTTAGATAATAAGACTTCACAAAAAATGTTCCTACAAGAACAGATGGCAGATGAAGTTACTTGTCAAAAGTTGATAATCTTAAAAGAATTAATAACTCTATATTTCATTTGACATGAGATTAAAAGCAAAATTGTGCTTTATTTAGGAAATATTACCACCAAATTTCTTAACAAAAAAATTAAGTATATGAACTGATACTGTTTATATCACTAACTCAAAGGACACATACAAAAACATTACAATGTATAATTGATAGCCAATGAATGAGATTCATTCATGAGAACACTCTAAAACTGCTAAACTACCATCTTCATAGTTCTGTGTACAAGCAAGTTTGAATGACTAAAATTTGTATCAGCTAATTTATTCAAAGATACTTATAAACTCATTTTTAATTTCATAAAATAGAAACTTTTATCTAGCCTGATTTGGTTAAAACCTCAATAAGAATAAAGCAAATAAAAACAGCACAAGTTCTGATGATAAAGCAGTGACTCAATGTTAAGGGAATTAGAACAAGGTTTTATACAAGTAAAAATAAAATGAAGTATTGAATAAAATACCAAAAATCCCATTATGAAAATTTAGTTTCAGCAAATTTTATAAAATACATATGAAACATACATATCATGATTCTGAAAAAAGGATATGTAAACTATCGTTGACAGAAAATTAAATAGCATTGAGAAGTGTTAATAGAATCAAGTAATCAAATGCATGAAAGTCAATGAAGTAGGAATCCAAGGTTTCACAAAAATAGTAAGGATTTCATAAAACTCTAATGTGCTCATTTCTAAAGTTTATTTTAGAAGTTGTTAGATCACAAAATTCATAACATTAGAATTACAGTTGAGTGAACAAATGCGATCACGCTATTTAGTATACACTATGTGGAAAATGACTTATGTAACTTGTGAGAAGGGAAGTCAGGGGTGACACTTTCCAAAAGAAAAAAATGTACTTATTACCTGACTTATGAACTGGCAGCCCATATCTACACACTTTTATAGTACCAATAAAATTACTTTTTAAAAGCAGTTATTTCTTTTATATCATTAGTAGTTGTTATTTCTTTTATATCATTAACTTAGTTATTATTTATCACATGACAATGATAAACCATCTTAAAATATGTAAGGGTATTCACAAAAGAAAATACAAGAAGATCACATTAATAAGTGTACAAATAAATGTGTAAACTTACTGCTGATATAATAAAGAGCATAATCTCAATGTATCAAAATGCATATATAAATGTTATATGCCCCATTGTGGAAACTATATCTCCCTCCCTCTTTTAATTCACCTGGGAAAATCAGCCTTGGACTGTACAACTGTCTCTGGTTCCATGGATTCTGTCTTCTATGTTTAGTTCAGCATCTCCTCTCTTCCAATGGACATCAGCAAGTTGGAAGATATTAATAAGTATAATATAGCCAATATGAAAAAATGTACATTTCAATAGGAGAAAACATGTACCTTTCACAGTACACATTGATATTCTAAAGTCTCACAAAAGAAGAGACTGTTAACTAATTGTCTATAATAATTATTTAAGCATGGAACATTTTTGGCAATCTTTATCTGAACTTCTCCATTCATCCCTTGAAGCTGTAATTGTACTTTCCTAATAAAAACATTTTAATATAAAAAGACTTAGCATTGGGCTGGGAAGGTGGCTCAGTGGTAGAGCACTTGCCTTGCATGCTCAAGGCCCTGGGTTCGATTCCTCAGCACCACATAAGCAAAAAGAAAAAAGCCGGAAGTGGCGCTGTGGCTCAAGTGGTAGAGCACTAGCCTTGAGCTGAAGAGCTGAGGGACAGTGCCCAGGCCCAGAGTTCAGGCCCCACAACCGGACCCAAAAAAAAAAAAAAAAAAAACTTAGCATGTATTAGTGGTTAACAGTCTACAAAGGTAATACTCAGATGAACAAATATATTTTAAAATTCAAAAGTCATGTGTTACAGGTTGAATTATGAAACTCTGTCTCCATTCTCAGAAACAATGTATGTTAGATTCCTAAGTCACAAAATATATGATCTTATTTGGAGACACTGACATTCAAGTTAAAATTAAGTCATTAGGTAGACCTTAATCCAATATGACCAATATCCTTTGTTAAAAGAGGAAAGATTAACACAAGGAAAGGCCAGACTCTATAGTCTGACATCTATTATCTTAGTTACTCAGGAGGCTAGGATCTCATGGTTCAAAGCCAGTCCAGTAACAAACCTGAGACTCTTATCACCAACTAACAAGTAAAAAGTCAGAAGTGAAGGTGTGGCTCAAGTGGTAGAGCACTAGCTTCTTCAGAGTACACAGGCCCTGAGCTCTACTGAAGTAGAGTGCGTGTGTATGCGCACACGTGCGTGCGCACACGCGCGCACACACACACACACACACACACACACACACACACACACAGGAGAGAGATGTGAAAAATAATATAAAAATAGGAAAAATAATATAAAAATAGGAAGAATGCTACTTACAAGACAAGGCATTCCCAAGGCTTCGAGAGGTAAGAGACAAGAATATAACTGATTGCCTCTTGCAGTGCTTGAAGGAACCAAACTTACTGCTGTCTTGGTTTAAGACCAAGTTACCTCCATAAACTTTAGACAATAAATTTGTTGTACTAAGCCACCCCAATATTTTGTTATAGGAAATGAACAGACATCATTGACATCATCATCATCATCATCATCATCTTTATCATCATTATTCTTATTCTTATTATTTAGTGTTGGAGCTCAAACCCAGGACTTTAGCCAGATACCGGTGACTCCTGTCTATAATCCTACCTAATGAGGAGGCTGAGATCTGAGGATTGTGGTTCAAAGCCAGCCCAGGCAGAAAGGTCCTTAAGATTTCTAATTAACCACCAAAAAGCCTGAAGTATGGAAATGTAGATCAAGTGATAGAGAACCAGTCTTTAGAAGAAAAGCCAAGCTAGAACACATGGCCCTGAGTTGAACTTCCAATACCAGTATAAAAATGAAAAACACCAACAACCAAAAAAACCAACATGCTAAATATACATTCTACCAGTTAACTATATCCCCAGACCCAGGCATACTATTAATCAAACTACTTTAGACTTAATGCACTTAAATAGTAACAAAAATGTTAACATTATACCATAATAAGCTGTAATAGAATAAGGAATTTTATCTCTACAAATATGATAGTTTTCCTCATTACACCAAACTAAAGCTATAAAAGGACTCTGGTTTCAATAAATCTTCTTAGATTACTTTACTATATATTTTGTTCACTAACTTCTTGTCTTAAATATCCTTGAGTATAGTGTTTTTCCCTTTAAGAAATTGTACTAAATGATAAAATGAAGAAAAACTTTTGCTCCTGTGTTTCATCATTTGAAAAATCTGTGAAAGATGACATACATTTGAAATTCATGATTTTTATCAATTAAACTGAGAAAAAATGTGAATAAAGAAAAACTACTAAGAAGAAATTTTGTGAGGACAAGAATTTTACTCTGAAAATAAAATTGTATAGTTAGCTAAGAAATCAATAGTCAAAATAAGCCTAAAGATAAAAATCAAAATAGCCTGTCTGAGATTCTTTTTTTTTTTTTGTCTGTTACTAGAGTTGGAACTCACTCTCACACTTTCTAGGTTTGCATGCCAAGTGGGTACTCCACCACTTGAGCTACAACTTCAGCCCAGATTTTTGCTGGTTATTTTGGAGACAGAATCCCAAGGATTTTCTTGCCTGACTCATTTTGAACCACAATCCTCCAGATCTCAGCCTCTTAATGAGCTAGGATTGCAAACCTGAGATACCAAAACCAATCTGAAACTAGATTTTTTTTAAAAAAAAATCAAGAAATGGAAGATAAGAAATCAGATCTAAAATGTCTTTGAATTGTTACACTCCTTCTTGCTAAAAAGAAGGGACTATTAGCCACTTTGTAGACCTTGGGGACAAAACAAGCAGAGACTCTACTCTGAGATGGTTAGCATGATGTGTCAAATCAGGTGCCTAGATCCTTGGGTAAACAAATATCTTAGTCTTTTTGGATATGATTAATATTTTTAATAGAGTGCTATGGCTTGAATAACGTTTGTATTTGACCCGCATTAATCATATAGTAAAATTTAATTCTCATTGTACACAGTGGAAACTTAACCTGAAATGGCATTCAGAGTTCGTAGCTTAGAGATGTGATCAAGCTTAGACCAGGTCACTAGGACTGAGTTCCTAGGAGTGAATCCCAATGGTCTTATAAGAAGAGAGAAAGAAATAAGAAAGAGCATAAGATTTATATTACAAAGAGGTATACTTCCAATTGCAATAAAATTCTCTATACTTCCTCAGGACTGTACCACTATGAAGAATCATCAGACACATCCATCTGCAGAACTGTGAGCAAAATAAACCTTTTTTCTTTATAACTAATACAATGTTTAGTATTATGATCAAAGTAAAACATACTAATACACTGAATAAAGCATAATGCCCTCTTCAATGTAGATGGCCTTCAACCATCCACAATGAACCAATTTTGTTTCAGAAGACACAAACTTGAAGTAAAACTTTTTCTCCTAAATAGTAACTATATACTATATGAAAAATAATGCAAATTTTATTGTTGGGTCTTAATGGTAGAGCGTCTGTCCAGCATGCACAGGTCTAGAGTTCAATCTCTATCACTAAAAACTTATGAGAAACATAAGTATAATGATCAAGGTCTGAGGCTGGCCTTGGGCAAAAAAGTAAAGGCCCACTCTAGGCACTGGTGTCTCACACTTGTAATCCTAGCTACTCAGGAAGCTGAGGTCTGAGGATTGAGGTTCAAAACCAACCTGGGCAGGAAAGTCTGCTTATCTCCAACTAACCACCAGAAAACTGCAAGTGGCACTGTGGTTCAAGTAGTAGAGCACTAGCCTTGAGCTGAAGAGCTGAGAGACAGTGCCTAGGCCCAGATTTCAACTGACCAAAAAAAAAAAAAAAAAAAGGGAAAGACCCTATACAAAAATAACTAAAGCGAAAGAGGTTGGGGATATGGATCAAGTGATAAACCTGCTTATTAACAGGTCTTATGTTTAAACCTGGGTCAGGGCAGGGTGGGGAGAGGGCAGGAAGAGAGGAGGGGGAAGGAGGAGGAGAGGAGGAAGAAGGGGAAAAAGAGGAGAGGGGGAAGGGGAAGCAGCAGCAGCAATTGCCTCATGGTTCTGAGGTCCTAAGTTCCATACCTGTACCACCAAAATCTGTTATTTAATCAGTCTTCAGTCACACAAAATTGGAACAGTATGTGTGAAGAAGATCCTCTGATAAAAAGTGATATGGTGAAAGACGTAAAGATGGAATATGATATTTGACTTGGATTGTTTAAAATGGATAATGAATGATTTTAAGATATAAATGTAAATGTGCTGTGGATAAGACTTCCCTGGTAACTTACTATTTCAGCTAGCAACTGTAATTGTAACTCTGTAACCCTGTCACTCTGTAACTCTACTTCTGCTATTTTCTGAGCAATGCGAGCCCTAACCCAGCAGAACCATCCCCACCCTTTGTTCCCCTGCTTCCCACCAGCAAAACCTTGGTGGGAAATTTAAACTTAAAGTGCACATTTCTTGTAACAATCATTGGATAAAACCAACACCCAGCCTCCCCCTTTCCCCACCGGGCTGGCCCTCAGGGCCGTTTCCTGGGATCGCAACTCCAGGTGCGGTCCTCGTGTGCAGTCCTCATGCATCAGCATTTTCCCTCAATAACATCTTTTACATTTTCACTGCTGGCTGAGTGGTCTGTCTCACAGCCTCTCCCCACTACAAAAAGAATTCACAAAGTAAAAACTAGTAAGTCTAACCTTTCAAAGTCAAACCAATACAATATTAAACTTGGCCAGAGTGTCCATTCAAATGTTGCATGTTATGAGACAAAGTCAGCTGAAATGATAAAATAATGGATTTTTTTTATAGTACTGAGTATTGAACATAATCCTCACAATTAATAACACTACTACTTGAGCATATACCAAGAACTTTTTGCTATAGTTAATTTTTAGACAGGGTCTTGCACTTTTGACTGGGCCACCACTTGAAAGTGAACCTCCTACCTTCTCCCTATAGTTGGGACTATAAAAGTGAAGCACTATGCCTTGTCAAAATACTGGTGTTAATTTGCCATTTTTACTATGTATTATGTTTGTTTGTTTGTATGTATTTTTTGTGGAACTGATACCAAACTCTGTCTTTTATGTTGGACAATGGTTGTAATATTGAGTTACATCCTTAGCCTTGACTAAGTTTTACATACAGGATAACTATAAATCACTTAAAATAGTAGAGTTTTCAAACTCACTTTTAGTTTTATAGATAGATATAAATATGTATCATATATAATAAACATAGTAAATTCTCTTTCCTCTTCCTAGAGTTCTATGTTTTTCTCTCTGAGAAATTTAATAAATGTATTACCAACTTACAATAAAAATACAAATAATTTGAAAGTAGTGAATATATATTTCATTTTGAAGTAGCAAATATTTTTATTACATTATGATCCTCAGAAATATTAAAAACAAGAGACAGGCTACATGCTTTTTTCAGGCAATTAAATTCAGGCAAGAAAAATGACAAATAGTAATTTGTAAAATGAATGTTTACTTGGTATATTTTTGTATTTGCATGGTTACTACTAAAGAAATGATTCAATGTTCACCTTTAGCTGTAGTATCTTCTCTAAGTTTTCAATCTTTCTTTCAGCCATTCTCAGCTTCCTTAACTCCTCAGAGTCCAAGAAAGAGCTCTTTGGGGACAAAGACCTTGAATGTTTCACAGGTGGTTCCTTGAGAATAAAACAAGGACATGGTTGAGCTAGTTGAAACACTGGATTATAAAAGACATGCAAAATTAAAGAACAAGTAATTTTGAATACTAATAATGAATTATAAAAAAAAAAAGTCCTGCATGGAATACCAGAGAAATAACAAGCGGAATTACCACAGTGCTACCACTAAAGGTTTCTCTGTGACTCGTTAATGAGAATATTCATTTACATTTACATTGTTTCTTTCAGAATAATGATGTCCCATTAGGGAAGACTAAAGGGTTATAGACTCAGAAATGCAAGAAACCTCATTACAAAGGAGGGGATAGAGGCTGGTCTAATTGCTCTATAAGGGTCCAAGGTTACACTTGATAGGACAACCAGAAACAAGAGGGAAAGGATTTTTTCCCTTTGAAATAGTTTAACACACTGTGAAGTTGAAGGAACAATATGCTAGAGGAATATAAATACAACAGACAGTAGATCTTATACCATAATGACCATATGGTCATTAACTATAATGTGGCTAACTAGAGACAAGAATGTGTGTTTATATTATGTACAGTTTCATATACCAATCTGGAGAATATGAGAAGGCAACTATTAAGCTGGGCAACATAGTGTTCATCCTAATGCATGTCCTTACAAAAAATAAAAAAAACTTGTATAAAATGTATTCCTTTTTTATTAAAAGAAGACCATCGATGCAGTACATTTTTAAACTTTAGCAATACAGTAAGCAATCAAAGAAAGACCTATAATGTTGCATTTCTATTTTACAAGAATGTTTAATTTAAATAAACATGGCAAGATATATATGATACAGTTATGATTTTAAAATGAATAATATTCATTCCTCTGAATAACAATATTACAGGGACTCATAAGAGTAACACAGACTCATGGGTCTAATTTCAAATGCTTCCTCTATTATGACAGTTTGTTTACTCGAGAAAAAAATGGAAAAATTACTGTGAAAAGTTTGTTTTATATATAAAAAAAAATTCTCCCTGTATTGCTGATGTAAAAAGTTTAAGAAAAATAATCTAAATATCCTTACTTATAAAGGAATGTCTTACTTATAAAGGAATGTCTTTTCCTCTTATGTGGAAATACAATAATTAATAAAACTACAATGTGTAATGAAATTTTTGTATTAGTCAACAATCTAGGGAATCTTTTGATATATGACTTAAATATGTAATGAATACTAAAAAGGGAAAACTCAAGACATTAATGAGAATATCCTATACAAAAGACGTTCATTTTTTTCTACCTCTTTAAACCTATAAAATACCAATACATGTTAATGTTATATTTATTATTTTATATCCCACATTGACCATATATTGAATATTTTATTAGAATAAAAACTTAGAAACACTTTTACTTCCACTAAATTTAAGAACTGAAAAATAACCATACCATTTTTAAAAGAAATAACCAATACTGTCCCATTTTATTATAGATAAGAGATACTTAGGAAAACATTTCAATGTAAGTATATAATTCACTAACAAAACAGGAATACTACTAACAATATACTCAATTACGTAATTAGGAAAAATATTATTTAGGCTTTAAAAGGGAGTATTTCCTACTCCTTGGATGCCTTTTAAAGATCATTTAACACATAATATTGTTTAATTTCAATAAACACAGACAAGGAAGTACATAACATTGTTTCTGAACTTTATCTTTTGGATTGTCAGCCTCATCCTAAAAAACACAAAGTGACAAGAGGTCTCTACCTTCTGTTTTCCTTCAGTACTTATCATAATGCTCTTCTCTGGAAAAGTGTTGGTACAGTTATTCTCAGATAGCTTTTGACTTGCAATTTTCAGTTTCTCTTGCAAATACTCAATTTCAGACTTTTGTGAGACCATTAGTGTTTCTAAGCTTGTTAGTGATGGCTGTTCAGACACCTATTTTTTAAAAATATATTAATAAATATCTAGGCTATGGTTATATATTAGTTACTAATACATGAAAATACTACATGTATTACATTATACACATTATAAGCATTCATGGAAAGCTCATTTTAACAGTAAACTATAAGCTATAAGGAACTAGAGCACAGCTCAGTAGCAGAAGTTATACACATCACACTCAAGGCACTGTGTTCAATCTCTAGACCCCACTTTAAAAAAAAAAAGCTAACTACCATTACTTAAAATGTATCATATAATAGAAGATAGGTCTCAATAAAACAACAAGAGTCTATATGTCTAGATATATATTTTCATAAAGAGTTTCGTGGTTTCATGAAATACACTATTCATGTATAATTGTACATAGTTCCTCGTGATATAACATATCACTGGATCATCAAGAGTCAAACAGTAGCCTAGAATATAAACCTGAGAGAAGGGAAACAGTAACAGTAGCCTAGGTCTAATTATCTTATAATATATCATAAGTTAATAATGATGCTACAAGAGCTCTGACATATTTACAAGTCAATAAACTATTCACCATTCTCTTCTGAAACTTAACTCATGTGTCAAGTAAATTGCTAATGGTAGACCTAAAATTTTAACAACCAAAGTTACAGGAAAAGCTGGTAAGAAACCTGTCAATGAAAATTAGTATTATAGAAATTCTACCATCTCTACTGACTTGAAATCATAAAACAAAAATATATGTGCTATTTAAAAGTAATCATTTCCTTTGCAAAAGCTTAAAATATTCAATCATAGACAAAAACAGTTTTTGTTATCCACCTAGAAATATCAAATCTTATGTTGTGAATATTATCAATATGGAACTAATAGCTCTGAAAGTATTTTCACTTAAAGTTATAGAGGATTAGAGTTATAAGATAGGGCCCTAAGTTTCACTTAAGAGTTTTAGACCCCATCCTTCCTAAATGGTATTTCTAAGGACTATGAGAACATATGTATGTATGTATTTACATGCGTCTGTGTGCATGTGTCTAAGTGTGCATATAAGTCCAAAACAACTGAGTAATACTATCTTTTTTCAGTTCTACCTTCTGTTTTCTTTTTAAGTAAGATAAGCACAATTTTCCTATTTCTAACTTGTAAATTTAAGGGTAAGGGGACCATTTTGATATATAATATTACACTATCCATATATTTAAATTACCTGATTTGTTTCCCAGCCTTTATTTTATCATCCTATTAAACATTATCTTCAAAGTGGTGTTGTTTTTATTATACTATTATCACTGTTGGATTGCTTATTCCATTACATTTTTGAACACAAAATACTTTATTACATTTTTCTTCTAGTGAGGCTATATGATTTTGCCATATTATTTCTCACTATTTAACCACTGTATTGCCTTTTCACAATCAAAATTATTATATATTCAGGGTGCTGGTGGCTTATGCCTGTAATCCTAGCTACTCAGGAAGCTGAGATCTGAGATCAATGGTCAAAACCTGCTCCAATAAGGAAGTCCATGAGATTTTTACCTCCAATTAAACACCAAAAAAGCCAGAAGTAGAGCTATAGCTCAAATGGTAAAGTGATAGCCTTGAGAAAAAATGCTCACTAGCAGCACCCAGGACTTCAGAACTCCAGGACTGGCTAACATGCGCGCGCGCACACACACACACACACGCAGACCACATCTATCATTGACTGCTAAATAATTTTCAAGGCTATCTTCTCTTGTCCAGTTTTTCATTAATAAAATTATGAAGGATATGTGAATACCCTGTCACTAAGTTTTCAATAACTTGTTCATGGTCAATTTAAAATTTAGAATAAAGCAGGAGAAAGATAATTTTACTTTACTGGTATATCCAATAAGCAAATTAGGTTAAGAAGAATTTAGTATTCTTAAAATTGTTTTCAATGTCATACCTTACCTAAGAATATAAGAAAATTAATAATCAATCAAGAAACTTTAATAAAGATTCAGGAAGAAAAATGCTCCAAAATACTCAGGAACGAGACAAGGATGTCCACTCTCTCCATTTCTCTTCAATCTAATATTAGAATGCCTAGCTACAGCAATAAGACAAGATGCAAATATAAAGGGGATCCAAATAGGGAAAGAAGAAGTAAAACTCTCCCTCTTTGCAGATGACATGATCTTGTATTTAAAGAATCCCATAGACTCCACTCCCAAATTACTCAAGCTGATTCAAAACTTTGGCAAAGTAGAAGGGTATAAAATTAAGCCTCAAAAATCAATGGCTTTTCTGTATGCCAACAATGAGAAAAGTGTGGCTGAAATTAGGAAAGCAACTCCATTCGTAATAGCCCGACAAAAAAATAAAATACCAAGGAATTAACTTAACCAAAGAAGTGAAGGACCTCTATGATGAAAACTTTAAAAACTTGAAAAAAGAAATCAAAACAGAACTTAGAAAGTGGCAAAAACTCCCATGCTCCTGTATTGGAAAGATCAACATCATGAAAATGGTGATACTTCCCAAGGCTATCTACAAATTCAATTCGATACCTATCAATATTCCAACCTCATTCTTCAAGGAAATAGAAAAGGCAATCCAAAAATTCATATGGAACAATAAAAGACCCCAAATAACAAAAACGATCCTCAACAGAAAGAACACTGCTGGAGGAATATCAATACCAAATTTCAAACTCTACTATAAAGCCATAGTAATCAAAACAGCTTGGTACTGGCACAAGAACAGACCTCAGGACCAATGGAATAGAACTGAAAATCCAGAAATGAACCTACAGACTTATAGCCATCTAATCTTCGATAAGGGAGCTAAAAAAATAGAATGGAAGAAAGACAGCCTCTTCAGTAAATGGTGCTGGCAAAACTGGTTAACTACTTGTAGAAAACTAAAGCTAGATCCTTATATATCACCCTGCACCAGAATCAACTCCAAATGGATTAAAGACCTCGGAGTCAAAGCAGACACTCTGAAAACATTACAGAATGGAATAGGAGAAACCCTAGGTCTCCTTGACACAGGCCGAAATTTTCTTAATATAGACACAGAAACACAACAAATCAAAGAAAGGTTGAACAAATAGGATTGCATGAAATTGCAGAGCTTCTGCATGGCAAAGGACATAGCTAGCAAGATCAATAGAAAGCCCATGGAGTGGGAGAAGATCTTCACTAGCCATACAACAGACAAGGGTCTCATATCTAAAATATACCTGGAACTCAAAAAATTAAATCCCCCTATCTTCAAAGAAACAACTGCCCAATAAATAAGTGGGCTAAAGACTTAGAGAAACTTCTCTGAAGAGGAAAGAAGGATGGCCATGAAGAAATGCTCTACCTCTCTAGCCATAAAAGAAATGAAAATCAAAACAACCCTCACCCCAGTTAGAATGGCTATAATCAAGAACTGTAATAACAACAGATGCTGGAGGGGATGTGGACAGAAGGGAACCTTACTGCTTTGTTGGTGGGAGTAAAAACTTGTTCAACCACTTTGGAAAGTAGTATGGAGGTTCCTCAAAAGATTTCACATAGAACTCCCCTAGGACCCAGCAATCCTACTTTTGGGCATTTACCCAAATGTTCACAAACAAGACCACACTAAAGCTACCAGCTCAACTATGTTTATTGCAGCATTATTTACCATCGCTAAGATATGGAACCAACCCTCAGTAGATGAATGGATCAAGAAAATGTGGTATATATACACAATGGAATTCTATGCCTCCATCAGAAAGAATGACATTGCCCCATTTGTTAGGAAATGGAAAGACTTGGAAAAAATTATATGAAGTGAAGTAAGCCAGACCCAAAGAAACATAGGTCCCATGGTTTCCCTTATTTGCAATAACTAGTATATGTCTGAGTCAAGCGGATAAGGTCAGATAAGTTGATGTTAGGGAAATGAACCCTAAGATAAGTATTCAAATGTATTTTTCTTTCATGGGATTGTTTCTAACACATTTATAAGATTATTTCTTTGTTGCTTTGTATGTCCCTCCCCCACGGTATAACCCGTGCTTTCACTGCATTTGATGTTGTTATAATTTGTGGAGGGGAAGGGAAAAAAACAAATCGTTTAAATAGGGATACAGGTGGACCCACTGCAACAATGAGACATACAAGTCGTTATGTGGAAAACGAACTTTACAACTTTGGTAGGGAGATTGGGATGGGAAGGGGAAACAAAGGAGGAGGCTACAATGCTTGATAAAAAATGTACTCATTATCTTGCCCATGTAATTGTAACCCCTCTGTATTTTCACAATTAAAAAAAAAAAGGCAAAAAAAAAGAAAAATGCTCCAAAATAGATACAGTCACTATAATACTAACAATATAATTTCAATTAATATATAAACATTATTTCTAACAACAAAGGATATTTATGCAACATTTTTCAAAATGTTTTAATAAGTAAGTTTAAAATTGAAAATAGTGATAAACTCAAATTCACATTGTAAAGGTATAAAGTAAGTTATATTTAGTTTGCTTTAAAATAGTATTTTATCCATTTGAGATGTTTGTACATACTAATCTATGTAGACACAGACTTCAATTCCATAAAATACTTCACACATGTTCCCAGTCTCTTTAAATGTGGTTTTCTGCCTAGATTTTTTAAAATAAGAGTTTTATTGTGAAAATACTGTACAGAGGGGTTACAATTAACATGAGAAAGGTAATGAGTACATTTCTTATCAAGCATTGTTGCCTCCTCTTTTGCTCTTCCCTTACCATCCCTTCCCTCCCATCTCCACAACTACACTCCCACTCCCCACACCTCCTAAATTATACAGTTCATTTTCGACATAGTGTCTTGTACATCTCATTGCTGCAATGGGTCAACTGGTATCCCTATTTAAACAATTTTGTTTTTTCCCTTCCTCTCCACAAATTATACCAACATCAAATACAGTGAAAACAGGTTATACCGTGGGGGAGGGACATAAAAAGCAACAACAAAAAAATCACATGGTACCTTATAAATACATTAGAAACAATAGCAAGAAAAAAAAAAA